TTACTTTATTATTATTATTCTCCATCTCAAATCTGGCAAATATAATGCTAACATTATTGAAACTTGTGTATTATTGCATTTTTGAATAAATCCGAATTGGTTTCTTCACAACACCTATGTACTCATATGTTTGTGAATAATAATAATGAGTTAGTGTGGGCAATGATGTGACTTCTACGTAAAACCATATAGATTAGCAGTCAAATAATAACAAATCTACAATTTTAGGATTGGATATATTATTGGAGTGGTACCAATAACGAAATAGACCGTAATTCAACAAGTGCATGCATCTCCTGGCTTTCTTTTATGACTTTTGTGTTTCGCTTCGCATGCAGTGAAAATACTTTTGCGTTGCAATGTTATAGAGTTTAATGGCAAGATGTTTTCATCCATCAAACTGCTGACATGGTAACCAGCTAACTCGTTTAGCGAAACATAAAGATCCTTTGGAGTCTTTGAATCATCTAAAAAAAGAATGTCTCTGTGTTTGTGACTCGCCACAGTAGTGGATGACCCTGAAATTTAGGACTGACTGATTATCATCTGGTTGGATGCTGTTCTGCATGTGCATATCCACAACGTCGGCAGGATACAAACAACTTTCTTTACCAACAATCTACTTCTTAGGTGGAATTAGATCCTCCCTTCTTCTTGGTGCAGAGATAAGTAAGAGCTGCTTATTAGTCGGTTAAACAGTGCATAAAAAGTTGCGAATCGGTTTAAGGTAATGCCCCCAACAATAATAAAAAACACATTCACATGAACATATTTAGCGACGGAACAACTGCTACATTATTAACATCTTTAAAGGAAATAAATTTACAGTACACACACTCATATGTGATCATGACTGACTATTGTGCACATAAGTATACCTGTGTCACCAAATGAGAAGATTCCGCGAAATAAACACGCGAATCAGTGAATCGTCCAAACTTAATTAATCCGCTACCCGTTATATCAGTGACCAGTTTAGGTTTACCACGTACTATTATTGTGTTATCAGGCCGAAATAAAGTAATCCTAGTGTTTTTCAGCGTTATTATCTGTTTTCCGTTGCCAGATTGGACGAATATTTGTACAGGGTTGGCCCACTAGAAAAAGAGGTCACCGTATAACGCTGAGCCGCTCGCTTTGCTACAACGTAACCACTATGCACTGATTTCTAACTCCGCTTCAAATAAGACTGAAATGTTTTTGATTGAGATCATGAACTGATTGATGTTAGACCACTGCTGGAAACCTGGAAGCGCTGGATGACCGTTTCATCCTATTGTGAGACTCCCCAGCGGTGCGCTTCCACGATCCCGCTCGCGAAACTCGAACTCCTTAGGATACCCTAACAGCTTTTGGTAAGCCTGGAACAAGGTCTCGAGACTAATTTGGAGTGCCGTTACACCTCCGATGTTCTGACAGCTACTTGCCATCAACTTCTTTAGTATTACATTTGCTTGTTCTTTTCAGTTTATGAACTTCTGCGGACATCCTGCAAAAAGTGCATCGACAACACAACATTCTGCACCATTTTGTTATTTATTGTTTCATCGTACAAAAAAACCAAAAACAAATCTTTTTGCTAACATGCTCAGATGCATGTGTATATGTATATATTTTTTTCTTGGAACATCACCGTGCGACAATTGTTTCTACTCTATTGTGTTTTATCAAAACGCACGTACACCAGTTTATTTTTTCGCCCGTTTTGTTTTGTTTACCCACATACGAGTGTTTTTCGACATGCACTTACATATCATTTTCTTCTATTTCAGGACGTTTGGAAAAGATGAAAAACCGAGAAAGATTACGAAGAAGTAAATTTTTCATTGTAATTTCTCCTCATTGCTACATTGTACCACATAGCCCATTATAGTAAGGAAAGAGGACCACACGCTGCTGAACATGGTAAGTAATCACAAGTGATTACCATCGACAAGATCATTAGGTTTACTCTTCTGACTAGCCACGTCTTATGGTCATCACTATCTCACTAGGGTGAATGATCTGTAGCGGTAAATGAATCACAAAAATAAATAGCTCCGTAAGTCTTCGACATTTGATGCTGACCACATTAGGTTTAATGGATAAATCTGGCTGAAGGTGCTCGGCCATGCATCCGCACCCAATCACGAGTCGGTACGTCGTGCTATATATCTCTTTTAACTACAACCAGCTTAGACCAAACGTTCCTTCTACATACCGGTAGGTCTCCAAGCATATCGTCGAACTCTTTCGTTCCTGACTTTTGATTTGACTGTGTTGGCATACTTTGATTATAACGGTGATACTGGTTAAGGCGTTGTCGAACTCCAAATAATTGTGACATCTTTAAACCTATCATTATGATAAAATACAACTTCATGCCCCGTGCTTCGATATTGAGTCCTTGATTGTGTCATGTTTAAGTTCTAAGATTGTTTCCATTAGCACTATTTCCTTATACTGTTTCATACACACGGTACGATCATATTCGTCTCCTGAAGGCACACACGATTTAATTGAGCTAATCTACGAACAAGACAATTATCTGAGGAATGTCAAATATTTTGCTGATAAGCCTCAATCCCTGGTGGAGTGCGCAATCACTGCATTTCGTATCCTTGTCGTGCGATAAATACAAGTGTAAATTTAGAACAACATATATAAGCGAACAATATTGTCTTCGACTAGATCCTCATCAGGCTTTACTCTAATATACAGTAATATTTATATGCATATACGAAATTATTAAACCAATCAAGGTAGTTTATAAGTCAATGATAACAATGGAAAAGATTACATAATAAGTAAAATGTGAAAAGTACAAATTGATGATGTGACAACAGGTGCATTAGTTTTGATAAGCAACAATAATAAAGGTTCGAATCAATGTTACATAATCTGAAATAGGTCAATGATTAGAAAAATATAGAAACTGAGATAACAATTATAAAATTATAAGATGACGTAATAAGAAATGTTCATATAATTGGACCATGAAACGTATAGTTGAGGGAAAATAAAGTGGTAGGAGGGTGTGAAGAAAAATAATAAACGAAGAGAAAGTTAGAAAAGGAATAAATAAATAAGTTCATTTATTACTTAAGGCCAAGGGAGAGATAAGGGAGTTACAAATTTCTTCTGAACACAAAGACTTGGCTTGTTGGCTCGGACTCCTATAGCTTCTGCTATGTGTAAGAGACGAGATCGAACACCATAAGGAAAACTGGTGGGAATTCGATAAATAACTTTGACCGCTATCGATCAAGTGTGACAGAACCGAGCTGAGTATTGTTTTGACGTAACCTTTTCCTAATCACGAAGGGAGGTGTTCACTAACACATTGGTTCAGTTGCCTGGTAGTGCGCCCGATATAGCTTTATCCACAGGAGCAGCTGAATTCGTAGATACATATAGAAGTGGCATAACCAGGTAACTTATCCTTCAATCGCGGAATCACCATCGATCGGGTCGAATACGATAGGCAGAGGTTGACAGCATTAATCATTCTCTTTACTGATCTAGTCAATCTATCATGTAATACATCGCTAGCCAAATCACCATTGAATTGCAGTTTCAAGAAAAGCGGTTTCTTATTAGCCGTCAGGGTCACTATTTTCCTGTTTTGTATGCGCAAATGTTTCTTCAGGAAACCCAGTGGATATCCCAATTCAATCAAAATATTATGAATGTGTTGTAATTCTCTATCAATAGTGTCGACTGAGCATATCTTAAGAGCTTTATTTGCAAGACATTTGACTAAGTTTCTCTTATAATGAAGAGACACAAAGCTTAAAAAATGTGTGTATTCGCTTGGAGAAGAACTTTTTCTATACACACCCCTGCCGATAGAACCATTTTCTTTTCTACTTAACAAAACGTCCAGAAAATTTAGTTTGTTATCTATTTCCTCCTCACATGTAAAGTTAATAGCAAGATGTTTGTTATTAAATAGTTCCAGTTGCTGTTCTTTTCTAATGTTATAAGATTACGTAATAATAAAGCTATATTGGGCGCACTACCAGATAAAGCGAATTGATAAATTTGTCTCTTGTCCGAAAAGCGTATTTCATCATGGAGCTCCTCTTCAACAAGTCAAAATGAAGTTTTGCACATATGAAATTCCAACCAAAACGACGGTGACGCCGTCGACCTTCTAATAGAACAGTATTAACAAAATTTATAACCGCCCCTTAAAAACCACGGCCAACGAAAAGCATCGCCTGTAATTCAGGAGGACTCTCAGAAGTGAATATGAGCTCATACTTGGAATATCAGATACTGGAACACCAAAATGTGGACATTTCTCCGAATGTTGTTCATTCTGCCATAAAGAAAGAAGCGGCTTCAATCTTTGCTAAAACATTTGTTGTGCTGTTATCAAATTCACCAAGCTGAGTCACGATACCAGAAAATTGGAGGTTAGCTCACATCGCATCGATTTTCAAAGCAGCTCGACTCAGAGAGCCTTCAAGCTGTCATCTTGTAGCACTCCTCACAATACCCATAAAAGTTATGGAGTCCTCGCTATATGATGGTCTACGTCACCAATTACTATCCACAAACTTCTTTTTACTCCAACAGCATGGTTGTAGGGAGTCACTCTTGTATGGCAAACCTGATAACCGCGGTGGACAGATAGACAGCCTGTCTTTGGTTATAAGGTGATGGTTGGTGACATATACCTTGACCTCTGAAAAGCTATTAATCGGACCAGTCATATACGCCTTATCAGTAACCTCGACAGGTAAAGTGTCGAGTCACCGTTGCTTGGTCAGTTTACTTCGTACCTAAATAATTAACTTTTTAAGGTCAGGGTAAACAGCACTCTTTCTTAGGTTTCAGAATATCCTAGTAGGGTTCCTCAATGTTCAGCACTATAAAATCTTTTCTCAATTTACATAAATGACCCTTCTCAGAAAGTGTCCTGCCGTTCATTACTTTTCGTTGATGATGTGGAACTTTGTCGAGAAGTTTGAATCAAGATGATAAGCTGGCATTTTAGGAGGATCTGACTCGACTTCAAATCTAGGCGGACAACAATAAACGTTTAACACTTAAAAGTGTAAAGTAGTCCATCTAGGTCATGTTGCAGACTTCGCATTCTAAAGGTGATCCACTCCCATTAGATACGGAAGCTATTTAAGCGAAAGCTTATCTATTCCGTCCAGAACCATTTTAAACCACTTGAATTGTTGGCGCTATACTGTATTGCTACGTTACGTGAGTTGCATTTCTCTTTTTGCTAGCACAGCTAAATCGGCTGTCTTCTGTTAATATCGCTGATAAAGATGCAGAATTCCTTAATCAACTCATTTTACTTGGTAAAGCTAGATGTTTTATTCAGATTGACCATCTGAGTCCTGGATTCTGCCCAAAATTAAATAGCGGCTGTCAGTGTGATTAATGGGCTGAAGGTCGACAATATGATGTACTCCTGTCGTATATTTTGTGAATTGAATAACCAATATAGTACTTAGCAGGTTTAGAGAGACTTCAGGATCTTCAATGTCATTCAGACACAAACCTGAGGGACAAATGGGTTGCTAAATCTATCTAATGAATTTAGAAGTAAACCCGTGGTTGTACTTTTAAAAAGGTAAAGATGATAGTTTAAAGCTTCAAAATGACCTGAAGAAATTATTTGAATGGTCTAGAATTCGGTGGTTATCGATAAATATTTACAAGCGCATGGTGATAAATATTAGTCCCCAAGGCGAGACTAATTTAGCGACGACCTTTGAACGAACCTTAAATGACCTTGACAATTATTAGCCAATCAGAAGACAGTATAAAGTGAAAATATATTGTAAGTAATGAATTACAGTGGATATTCTTCTTTTACATGATTTAAAAACTTGTTAAGGTTTGATAAAAGTTCTGAATTCATAATGCATATGGTATAGAAACCCGTCCATAGGGTTTAGGGTTAGAGGTTAGGATTGTAGCCTAGGGTTAAAGTTAAGGTTAGGGTGCTCAAACGCTTCTGATTGGCTCGTCGCTAAATTAGAGTCTCGCCTCATAGTTATCCAAGGCTTAAAATCTACTGCACACTGCCGTATGATAGCCTACAAAGGTCTTAGAATCCTATGATCATTATGTAGAGCCTTTAGCTATGTCGATGCTAGAAACTTTTTATACGTTATTCGTCAGTCCTAAACTCGAGTACTGCATACAAGTGACTAGTTCTTGACTAAAAGGAGACAGTTAGCCGTTGTGAAAGATTCGAGCAACCGCAACTAAGCTAATTTCTAGAATAGAAATGCTCCCGTTTGATACTCGACTGGCTAAACTAAGACTATTTCCATCGTCATAGAAAAACTAGAAGTGACCCGATCACAATTTTTAGATTACTTATCGATAAATTCGCATCTGATATGCGCTCACTTTTCTTGTCCTTCAAATCAGTGGATTTACGAGGACACTAAAAAAGCTCACAAGGTCAGAACAAATTATTTGTCAGTTGTTTATCAATTTTCCCACTAAATCATCAACGAATGGAATTCGTCTTCCAACAGATGATTGACGCTCTATCTGTCGATGCTTTCAAAAGGAACTTGGGTCGACTGAGAGACCGCCATTGCCAGAACTAACACAGGTCGTCAAGCCTCATGTACTTCTGAGGTACGCCTTTCACTGACAGACACTGCCACAGAACCTCTCGGTCTACAGAGTCAAATGCTACCTTTAGGTCAAGAAAGACCACCATTGTCGGACGCCGATAAGCATGCCTGTGTTCTAGAACCTGACGAATGGTGAATATGTGGTCAATGCAGCCAAGACCAGTTCTGAAGCCAGCTTAATTCTCTCGTGTTTGCAGTTCACGAGTCTTAGTTAGGCGTCCGATAATTATCGAGGCTATTATTTTAGATACTATATTAGTTAAGCTAATCCCTCTATAATTTTCACAGGATGATTTCGACCCTCTCTTATATGTTGGGACGATAAGTGATTGCGACCAGTCAGATGGAATAACGTCTAATTCCCAGATCTTAGCTAAAATATTAGTCAACCTAATCACTAAGATTGGATCACCATCCTTAAAGACCTCTGGAGCCAATCCATCTGGACCAGCTGCCCTTCCTCGTATCAAATTAACTATGGCCTTTTGAACTTCAGCTAGAATTGGGAGACCTACTTCAATGTTCCATTCACACTGTCTGTGAATGGAGGGTAGTTGTAGAATAGCTGAAGGCCAGCCGAACCGTTATCTAAAATGTTCCATCCATCGTTCTATACGTCTGGACTGGGAGCAGACAAGAGTGTCGTATTATACCCTTATATGCAATCTTTCCTTTATATATTACACCGTTGAGTTAATTGCTTCTATGAATTTGGTGTTCATCTTGCTGTGCTAATGAGGTATGGCAACTTGGATCGATGCACATATGTGCCTGGTCCTACGTTGTAACTGACCGACGTACTTTTCCTATACGAAACTAATCCTGGCGTTGCCCAACGGTCCTCCATAAATTATAGTCTCACTGTCTAGTGTTTTAATTGGATTCACTAACTTAGTTTTATCGTTCGCCTGTTAAAGTTTTACTATGAATATAGAACACTTCAGACAATAAGTCACTATTAAGCGATTAAGTTCAACACTTTATTAATTGGCTTAAAAACCCTATTTGATTTTCCCTACAGATGTTCTTACTTTCAGTGGTGTAATCGGTGTTTGTGGCTACGCTACTGTATTATGATTGACGACATAGCTAAGATTATTCCTCAGTTAACACATGGTCTTCATAAAGGTCAAATGGGAAGAATTGCTGTAGTAGGAGGATCAAAAGAGTCAGTTCATGCATGTATTGTTGATAGTTAGCAGATATACTGGAGCACCATACTTTTCCGCTATTAGTGCTTTGCATTGTGTAAGTTAACATACACAAGTAATATAAATTCTAGGGTGCTGATTTAGTTCATGTAGTATGTTCTGCTTCTTCCTCTCCTGTTATCAAGTCATATAGTCCCGAATTGATCGTTCATCCTGTTCTGTAATTCTCTATAAACAGTCCATATTACTACCTAATTTCTAGGGATGGAGTTCTAGCAGAAGCGACCAAATGTATGGACAGAGTTCATGCAATTACATTTGGACCTGGTCTGGGACTAACAGAAAATGTTGAAAATACTACAAAAGTTCTTTTTATTACCATTTACTTTTAAATACTAGTACTTTGTAGCTGATAGATTATTGCAAGCATTCTAACAAGCCTATTGTCATTGATGCTGATGCTTTGCACATCGTTACTCAAAATCCATCACTCATAGAAGGTTATGATAAAACTATTCTTACTCCAAACACTGTTGAGTTTTCAAGATTATATTACTCTGTGGTAATTATGTCAATAATATACTCAACGCATTTATTCAGTTTTCGTCTCAACCATATGATACCAAAGATGCGACAAGATCTCTTGCTGAAAAACTTGGTGTCACCATTGTCCATAAAGGTCCTACAGATATTATATCAAATGGTCAAACAAGTAATTTTCCTGATAATATATTGCTTTTCTACGAAATTGCGTTCAATATGTTACTGTGAATCCTCTGTAAGCGTATTAATTTCTGTTACTTATGTCTTGATAATGATGCATCTCTTTATGCATGCCGCTCAGAAGAAAGCCTCTGTATAGTATTAGCTAAACGCTTCGTGCAGTCGTAATAGTTTTCAAGGACTGACGTATTTTTCCTATCACCTTTAAACACGCAAGGAGATAATGCAAGAATAAATTGAATGATTATCATAAAATTTAAATTTCCCAATATTCTTCTCCATGGTTCCTATTATGGGTCCTGATAATTATTTGGGCTGGTTCTTTAGATTATATATTATTAAAACTGACTCCTCTTTTTAATCAAAAGTGTTTCTACTCAAACACTGCAGTGGTCAACGATCGCAATTAGCCAAGTAGAATTACGTCCAGTTCCCAGACTAGTTAGTCAGTCAGCTACAACGTAGGACCAGGCACATATGTGCATCGGTCCAGGTTGCCATACCGCATCAGCACAACAAGATGAACACCGGATTCATAGCAGTGGTTAGGTCAAAGGTAGTAATATGTAAGAGAAAGATTGCATATAGAGATATAGTACAAGAAGAAAGAATTGGTTCGTAGAAAGAAAGATATGAAGCGATTTTAATCTCTTAGTTTAAGGGAAGACAGGGAGTGTATACACCGACGCCATTGTGATCGATTCTGAGCCATGCCACCAAGAGTCTCCAACCATTGGTTACGATAGTCACGCGGACCCCAACCAAGTAGTCTGCATCTACCAACATGGCTCAGACTAGAAGTTAGTGACTTCAAGCACTGATGCCACGTTTTGGTTTGGCCGCCTCTAACTTTCTTCCAACCATCTCCAATACCGGATAGCATTGCATTAGTTAATATCCCAGTCAATTTGACAGCTAGAACTAGACCAACAATCTTGAAGATCTCTGGGGTTGATCCATCAAAGCATGTTTATCTTTATCACTTTATATAGGCTATGGATTTTCCTACTTTATTAAGAGTCAGGAGGCTTATGCTGAAATCCTATTCAGATTATTTAGTGAAGGTAAGGAAATGAAAGGTATTTAGAGAGTAAGCAATCAGTTCTTCGAAATATTTCTTTTATCGCTCCCGTCTCTTCGATTAATAGCAGATAATTTTCTTTCAGAACTAATTCCACTAACTCCTTGATTTTAAATACCTGTTTCTTTTATAAGTATGTAAAGTTAATTACTGTTGCCTAACTCTAACTTATTTTTAATTGCTCTTGCTTTAGCTGCCTACCTTTGTTCCAGATCATTGCATATACTTTTGATAGTCTATGCTTGAATTGCCTTCACTCATTATCTTGTTCGCGGCCTAATGGGTTGAGCATCTATCAGTTTAGCAGACAATCACTCAGTCACAATGTAGAACCTAGTTCGTATGTACAACTGTACAAGTTATCAGACCTCATTAAAGTAGTGGGATGAAATCGTCATACCAAATCTCAGAATGGGAGAGGTAGTAACAGTATCAGTGGTAATAGAAAAGACTAGGTATCAAAGATACGATTCAAAAGAAAAATTTCAATAGTTGAGAGCAGTCAATTGAAGCTTGATCACCACGAAAAACTTGGAAGCACTGGACGGCCGTTTCGTCCTACTGTGGGACAGCTCGGCAGTGCGCATCCAATATTTAAAAAAATTTAGCAGACGGTTCCTCTTGTCTGTTCATTGAGCTGGGACCCCCATAAGTGCCTATCACTTTATTTTAGACTACCTACGTGGGCTTTAAGTTTTCCTGCTACAATTATAACTTCCAAGCGTCCGGCTCTTTATAGAATAGCAGAAAGTTTTCTGAAAAACTGGTCCAATAATTCATTTAATTTTGATTGTAACTAGTGTTTGTCTAAAAAGTGTTCGGTCACCGGAGAATTCACCACACTGACTTAGTTGAGTCTTTAGACAATTGAAATCTCAATTACAAATAGTGTATACATTTGTCCAGCGTTCCAGATGCATCTTCAAAGCATCTAAATATACCATACCATAATAAAGACTCTACACATCTTTGTTTGTACGTGTTTGTTTCATCATGATAATTTCTGCAACGCGCAAAGATGTAGCAAATCGACCATTTCATTTGCGTTATACTGTTCTAAAAGATCCCTGTGATTTTATTGTGGTCTAATGGCAACTACCATCTATTCTCTTAATATCATCTATTCATATTTCCAAATTTTTCTGAGTAATAAAAATCTAAATCCTCACTTTTCATTTCATCTTAATCAACGTAGGTCTTCTGCCACCAACCTTAAACCACGAAATTATTTAGGTGACATCTCGATCTAGTTACAAAGACTCAGATATCAAGACGGGATTATTAACTACTCAATAAGTGGTGTAGTCCTTATGTTAATAGTTGTCGAACTGTAATTATTTTATTGGTTAACATAGTCCCAAGTAATTCAAGACAAGTAAGATTTCATTGGAATCATAAACCGATCTGAGTTAGACAACCACTGAAAACCTGTAAGCATTGGGTGGCCGTTTAATCTTAGTGTGCGGCTCCTTAGCGACGGGCACCCACGACCCCGCATATGGGAATGGAACTCAAGACCTTCGTTCACAAAAAGACTTGATCTTTAGACTACTGAGCCGGAATCCAGTAGTGTTTATGTCTAACTTCCATCAACCCGCGACATTGCGCGATCATCTATTGTCTTTGTTGGGTAACTCCATCACACCTGACACGGTTTAGCTCCAATAACCACGGCTTCCTACTGAAACTCCGAAATTTTGTTCTCTAGTCACTAGTGAGAAAATGATAATTGTCAGTATGAGGTTCTGGAGGTTGTTGAATTACATTGAAATCATAAGCCGATTTAAGTTAGACATTTACACCATTGGCTGCCGGCTAAATGGTATATTACTTATTTATTAATCTGAAGACATAAATATTGGTACAAAGAGGGACCAAATACATGTGCACCACACAAGTTACTTGATCCATGTGTGGGCTATGATATTGCCCAGTCAGAAGAAGGTGGTTCTCCTAAAAGGCCACGCCCGGAGCCTTCGACCTAAAGGTCTGATGCACAAGGCAGTGGAGCGACGTCAGGAGATCCAGTCCCATGGTAGTCAGTGACCGACGATTGGTTCATACGCCACTTGTTCCTTCAGAATCCTGGAGCTCATGTGCATCATTGGTTTGGAGTCAGGATTTCCCAACTCCCCTAGGTGGACCCTCTGTGCCCGTGAGTCTGGTTAAAGCGCTAGACATCCGATTTTCGTCCTCTCAATTCCGTAAACAAAACCCCCGTCGCGAGAAGGCAGTGGGTAGATCTTCCCTAACAGTAGCTGTACACGCGTGGTTAACTCTCCCCACCCTCAGCCGTATTTACGGCATTTGGGGACCAAAAAGCGGTCTAAAGATCAAGTGTTTTTGTGCATGAACGAAGGTTTTGAATACCATTCTCACATGTGGAGTCATGGCTGCCCATCGCTAAGGAGCCGCACACTAAGATGAAACGGCCACCTAGTGCTTCCAGGTTTTCAGAGGTCTAACTTGGATCGGTCCATGATTCCAATGAAATTCAACAATCTTTAAAACTCCGTACTGACAAAAGTATGGTCTCAATCAAAACTTAACCATCTTCACAACCCTATACTGATAATTATCATGCACTCACTAGTGGCTAATTTCAAGATGGATTCTCTGGAGTTCTAGTGAAAATCCGTGACCAGCATGGTTCAACCGTGTCTGGTGTGGGGCAGTTACTTACTGAAGACAATGGAGGACACTCGTGTAATATCGTGGATTGGTTGTAGTTAAACATTAACACCGTTGGATGCCGGCTTATGGGTCTAGAGATTAAGGGTACGCGCGCGAGACCGATAGGTCCTGGGTTCAAATCTCGCAAGGCGGGTTCGTGGATGTGCACTGCTGAAGAGTCCCATACTGGGACGAATCGGCCGTCCAGTGATTTTAGTTCTTCAATGGTGATCTAAACTCCGCCTGTAGAACCGGATGAAGGATGCAGTAGACGCCCAACTTCGAGATCAACAAGCTGGATTCCGTAAGGATCGGTCGTGCACAGACCAAATTGCAACACTACGGATCATCGTCGAACAATCAGTTGAGTGGAACTCATCACTATACATCAACTTCATTGATTATGAAAAGGCATTCGACAGTGTAGATAGGAAGACATTATGGAAACTTCTTCGACACTACGGAGTTCCTGAGAAGATTGTCAATATTATCCGGAACTCATACGACGGACTACAGTGCAAGGTTGTGCATGGACGACAGCTGACAGACGCATTATAAGTAAGGACCGGAGTCAGACAAGGCTGTCTACTCTCTCCCTTCCTCTTTCTTCTGGTGGTCGACTGGATTATGAAGACCTCAACATCGGAGGGAAAACACGGAGTACAATGAACAGCTCAGAATCAATTAGACGATTTGGACTTCGCAGATGACCTAGCCCTACTATCGCATATTCACGAACAAATGCAGATGAAGATAACTCGTGATGCATCAATAGGCCTCAACACACACAAGGGGAAAACCAAGGTCCTCAAACACAATACGGAGAACAGCAATTTAATCACACTTGATGGCGAAACTCTGGAAGATGTAGAATTCTCCACATACCTGGGAAGCATCATCGATGAACAAGGAGGATCCGATGCAGACGTAAAGGCGAGGATCGGCAAAGCAAGGGCCGCTTTCCTACAATTGAAGAACATATGGAACTCAAAACAACTTTCAACCAATATCAAAGAATCTTCAATACGAACGTCAAGGCAGTTCTACTGTATGGAGCTGAAACTTGGTGAACTGCAACAACCATGATCAAGAATGTACAAGTATTTATACATAGTTGTCTACGCAAGATACTCAACATCCATTGGCCGGATACCATCAGCAATAGCCTTCTGTGGGAGAGAACAAACCAACTTCCAGCTGAAGAAATTAGGAAAAGACGATGGAAATGGATAGGACATACATTACGCAAATCGTCAAACTGCATCACGAGGCAAGCCCTAACTTGGAATCCTGAAGGGAAGCGAAAAAGAGGAAGGCCAAAGAACACATTGCGTCGGATAATAGAAGCAGATATGAAAACGATTAATTACAGCTGGACGGAGCTAGAAAGGATTGCCCAGGACAGGGTTGGATGGAGAATGCTGGTGAGCGGCCTATGCTCCTTCACGAGGAGTAACAGGCGTAAGTAAGTAAGTAATGGTGATCTAACACTGATCGGTTCATTATCTTAATGAAAACTCAACAATCTCCATAACCATATACTGAAAAGTATATTTAATGACAACTGCTTACATAAATCACTTTTATGGGTTAACTTTTAAGTCCATATTTTTAGTAATTTTTCGACTGATAAAATTGCATTATTATTTAGAACCATAAAATATAACCCTAAAAACGGAAAATGTTGGGTAGCAACATTCATTCCTAAAAATTCCAACTGCTTTACATTTTTCCATAAGTTTTTTATCCACTGAAATCACAAAATGTTCAATATATCTATAGGTATCTCATAATATGCTTTGTTAAAATATAGATCAAGGAATTATTCATATGTTACGAATGTTTTGTTCTTCCAATTCGTTTGAAATAAAACCGCTATAAAATTTATTTATAATTATATTATATAGCCTATTTGTCTATCCAGAAATACCTGAATCGTTCAGTGTCAGATTCAGTCAGCCAGTCAGCCACAACGTAGGACCAGGCACATATATGCATCGGTCCAGGTTGCCATACCTCATTAGCACAACAATATGAACAGTGGATCCATAGGAGTGGTTAAGTCAATGGTATTAATATATAAAAGAAAGATTGTATATAAGGATACAGTACAGGAAGAAATAATTAGTTCGTAGAAAGAAAGATATGAAGTGATTTTGATCTCTTAGCTTAAGTGAAGAAAGACAGTGTATACACCTACGCCATTGCGATCAATTCTGAGCCAAGCCATCAAGAGTCTCCAACCATTGGTCAAGATACTCACGCGGATCCCAACCAAGTAGTCTGCATCTACCAACATGGCTCAGACTAGAAGTTAGTGACTTCAAGCACTGATGCCACGTTTTGGTTTGACCACCCCTAACATTCTTCCAGCCATCCCCAACAGCGGTTAGCATTGCATGTCGTGGTAATCGGTGTTCAGGCATACGCAACACGTGACCCAACCATCTCAGTCGGTGAAGATTCACAACCTCATCAACTGACTTACCATCATTCCGTAATACCCTGAGTCTAACCTCACTAATACTTACCCGGTGATCCCAGCAGACGCCAGCAATATTTCCAAGGCATCTGTGGTCAAATACTAGTAGCTTACGGGTGTCTTCTACTCTTGATGGCCATGTTTCGCTGCCGTAAAGTAAAACAGAACGAACTGCCGAGCAATATACTCGTCCTTTTATTGATAGACGGATATCTCGCCTTCGCCACATTTGGTGACGTAAGTTGGCAAAGTCAAACGAGTTTTCGAATCAGTGCAGAAATTTCGTCCGGCACTAACTCAATACGGCTGATCAGACTTCCAAGATAAGTGAAGTTGTCAACGCGTTCGACTACTTCACTCCCTATCCTTAGTTCAGGTGTTGACGCAGACCAGTCCTGAAGCAACAACTTTCATTTAGAGGGAGAGAAGCGCATCCCAAACATTCTGGCATTGTTGCTCAGTGCTACCAGAAGACTCTGCATTTTGTCAGCGTCTTCACCAAACAGGACTATGTCATCTGCGTATTCTAAGTCGATAAGTGGACCTCCTGGAAGGAGATCAATACCCGAGAACTCAGTCGACGAGGAAGTTATTTCCATCAGCAGATCTATGATGAAGTTAAACAAAAATGGGGAAAGTGGACAGCCTTGACGGACACCACTTGAGGTTGCAAAAGTAGATGACAGTTCGCCATAAGCTCTGACTCGACTAGTAGTGTCCGAGTAAAGTTTAAATAAAAATGACCTGTTTGTAAAGAGCTGTCGTGTTACTAAATTCACCCATGGACACATACCTATTAATATTGAACTCACTTAGAGATTCGCTTCCAACCTCTTTAGTTTCATCACTATAATTATATTCGTCATTCCATCTTATCGTTTGATTTTATTTAATAAAAGCTGTAGAGTGTGTGGATCAAGGATCACCCCGCAGATGCGGTGGACAGGGCGATGTTCTATCTGGTACAATGTCAGTCTTCAACTACTGGTTTCACCAAGTTAAGGATAACAATCCGTAAGTTACAATTGCTTTTTAGCAGTCAATAAAATATCAAGCATATGACGTACTTCGTTATAAATGTACTCAATTTACATTCCTCACGTGAAACATGAAAATGGAAACGTCTCTGTGTTGTTTTTATGTTTATCATGGGTGCACAAGCTAATTACCTGCTCACATTCTAGAATGTAGTACATATTTACGGTGTAATGGATTAATATTTCTACCCATTTGTACAAATAGAATATGGAGCTGACCTTAATCATCCATTTAAAGTTAAATAGCTAAGCCATTTAACTATGTTAATATTAGAGGTGTCAGTGTGTATAAGAAGGCAAAGAATAATTAGGAATTTACTCGAATGTTTTGACTATTCAAGTTGACGCATTTCTCAATAGTATAAAAACCTAATTTAGTCGAATAAGCTCAATAAAAAGAAAGAATCAAGTTGACTAGAACTATATCAACATGGAATCTTTAATTATTAAGGATTCAGTGGATGATATATGTACACTGTCGTGTCTGTCGCTAAGGCATTTCATTCAAAGTAATAAACGTTTCGTGAACCCTAGTTACAACACTTGCAAATCCGACGACAAGGAGTTTGGGGGAATATTCTGAAGTGTTGCTATTTATTTCTAAGATTACAATAAAATGCTTCGAATTTTCTGTTCATTTACCGATGTCAAGGATGTCTCATATGTTTTTATCTTGGGAACCTGTGAGACCAGTGTTTAACCTCTCCAGAGTTAGTCACGTATTGTCTGTCCAAAAACGTACATCCACGTAAGTGCAACAGAAGTTACAGAATATTAATTCTATAATCAACTGAATAACATTATGAACCAAACTCAATATTTTAAAGAAGATGGCTTGTTTTTTCCTTCATGACTTCTTATCTATTGCAAGTTTAAATGTAAGAGGTCCTAACAATGATATTAAGTATTCTTGTAAATCCACTTATCTAGATAGGTCGATAGACGATGTAATTATAGTCCTAACAAGGATTTTTCCTTCGGGTTTTGCATACCTACTTCGTCTCTTACATGAATTAGACATTAGAATATTTATTGAAAGCTGAGTCTAGTCCGATAGGGTTTATTCGATGCTATTTACTTGTCGGTAGGATATGGCCACTCGATTTACGAAATGTGAATATTCCAGATTTTAGTCGCTCCAACCTTCTTTACAAAACAAAGGTTTGAATGTATAAGTTATTAGAACGGTCAAACAAAAACATCCAAGGCACATCAACATTGTGGCATATGAGACGTCCGTTATCAGTGGTTAAAAGCTTGAACTGAAGTAGCATGAGACTAGTCTAAGTTTCAAATACAAATCTGTTCATTAAAATTTCAAACATCGTATTAATCTTTACTTCTTATTTCATGCAATTGTTCCCCTCCATTTCTCCAATATTATTGGGACGATTATTCTCATCTTTCATTCCTTCTTTCTTCCTAGTGTGCTAAATGTTAGCACGATATATCAAATTTGCACACACATGATGGATTTTGCATAATTTTACCACCTAAATTGATAATACAGTAGTAAACTTTGATATATATATATATATATATATATATATATATATATATATATATATATATATATATATATATAAGTAACGAGGTCTAGTTAATACTATTTCTTGATGTGTTGTTGCAAATTGGTATTTGTACTAGGTGCTACATCGTTTATGACTATATACACATAACTTTTGTTTCTTTTTCCATTATTAAAATTTTCTAGGAATCTACTGTTTACAGCTACTATTGGAGCTGCATTTGCAGCTTGTTCTCTTACACGAAGATGTTCACAATTGGCATACGCTAAATACGGTCGTTCTATGATAACTACGCAAATGTTGCCAGAAATACATAATGCATTCGAACAACTATTCGCTAAAACACCAATCGCATGAAGCAAAATACCACGCTTTTTTGTATTCTTAACAAACCTGATTGAGTTGTTTTCATCAAATACGTATTAAATTTGTACTGAAATTGACTAACAAGTCCCACATCAATTCTGTTTAGTCTTGTAAAGTATGTAACTTCTTGCATCTTTGATACTGTCTTCCACAAATTATTGCCAGTAAGTAGGACTTATGCATAAATTCTAGTTCAAATGTGACACTATTCAACAAACGTCGTTAGAATTGAGTCGATTCGCTTTAATAATTACAGGCCATCTTGTCCGACTGGTTCCCGAGACTTTTATAACCATCCTCAATCACATTTCCGGTCGACTACCATTCTGCCAAAATATTGTATTTACCTTCAAGAAGTATGCAGATTTGTTTTCGAAATTTTATTATAAAGTAAATGGGTTGTAAATACCACAATAACTTAAGAAGCTCCTAATGATAAGAAATTAAGGCTTCGGTTAACGAGTTTGGTTTTATTACTTGAAGTCATTTCAAATAGTCCGATAACATTGTACGGAATTAAAGCTTATATTTACTGAAAAATGTATGTACTGACCGAAGTCACTAGCATTTCAGCGTTCGAAAGGAAGAATAATGACGTGATAGTTATGTGTTTGATTACACAATTTCATTTCAGTAATCGTAAACCAACAGAGCTACTAGGTATATTTATGTTCATTAGACATTTGTTACACTTGCACTGTTTCCTGTGCACTACTAACAATTATCGAGTCAGCAAAATGATCACTGGACGGCGTTGTAGTTGAGCATGAGTTATGAGTAAATGGGAATTTGGCGAAATGAATTATTAGGTTAAATAATAGTGTTAGATCACATGACTGAGGAAATTAGGTATCAGTTTAATTTACAGTTTTAAGATAGATTCGAAAAAGAGACAAAGACGCTATAAATGGAATGTTTATTCCAACTGAAATGCTGGTAGCATTAAAAGAACACGTTATAACCACCGACTGTGGTTAGACCAATGGACTCAGCCAGTTGATTGCACGGCTGACGGTTTCTTGTACATAAGTCTCAGTTATTTATCAAAATTTCAATACAACATATCTAGCTTGGTTAACAACCAAAAAGAAATAACTACGAAGAGGGACGAAACCTATTGGGATAAGTAGAAACGTCTTAGAGCTTTATCGATTTTAGGTAGAATCCAGCCCCTAATATTGGCATTGAGTTTGTCAGTGGTTTACTACACATGATACAGATATAACAGTGTACATACTTCTCAAGTTATGACGGTGAACTGAGATTTACATTTAAACACTGTACGTCGATATTTAGTTAATATATAAAGCACTTATATCTGGGTTGAGAGCAAAAATGTGATTAATCTAATGATAATGGCAGGAGAATTGGCTAACGATTTTAATGAATTAACTGTTTAGCCCTAAGATAGATTTACTGCCAAAGTCATAAAAAACAAAACCGAATTAAAATAGATTTATTAGGCTCACCACATGTTGCACTACAGAATAGGGGATGGCTTTAGTGAGTTATTTGAGTATTTCAAGCTACCCATTTGAACAAGAGTAAGGAAAAAACTTTAGAAGTAATATTTGAGTTTCAAAAATATTTACAGATATCTGAAGTAGATAAAATACAATAAATAATCTACAAAATAAAAAGTTTTAATACGGCATAAATAAATTACAAAGCACTTAGACGAGGGATTTTATTTGGAGGACACTCAACGTCATCTTTCCCCGTCTGAGAAGAAATGTACTCTTCCCTTTTGCTATCAAGACTTAAATCATAAAACATATGCCGACCTCCATTAATGACCCACGACCGATTACGGCTGGAGGTACAAACGTAAGTAATTCGGGATTCAGTACTTCGAGAATGAGGGACGAACTGAGTAAAACTATCCTTCTTGTAAATAGGCAAGTTTCTCAAACTTTCAGCCATTTCCAAAACATCATATATCTTGAACCTTGAAAAGTGAAAAAAATGGCAGATAGATCAATGTACAAATCCTCACTGTGAAACAGGCTAAATAAGAATCTAGCCCAATTCATCAGTTCTATAAAAATCAACCCAGGTTTTATTTGGGTCTTATCAAACCTTTAGGTAATCTAACTACTGAACCAATATAATCATTTACAATACATACAAACCATCTGCGTCAAATGTGAAACCATTTATAAGTACTGAAATGAGAATAGCTCATTGTAAAAAGTCCACACAGATACAACGAAAATGAAGTCCGGATTCAGGAATAAGATTTATTCGGTTGGTTAAGAACTGAGTTTGTGATAACTGCAGTGTTAAAAATTCACGGAGTTATGGTTGTGATACATGGCATCTTTCACAACTCCTAACTTGATGTCTGCTGTTTCAGAGTAAAACTGCCTTTACTAGAATAATTGAAGGTCAAGTGAGTGATAACCTTTAGCTCGTAAGTCTGCAGGCAATAAACTTCGGTGTGTGCTTTTGCCAATACTTATTTTATAACCTATAGTACAAAAAGAAACATTATACCTGTAATTTTCATTAAGCAACATATTTCATAGGTTTTATGACAATTACACTAAGAATTGATATCAATTCATATTACAGGAGTAATCCCATCTCAAATAATTTGAGAAATATTTAGTTACAACCTTTAAGGAGTGTATGCTTATTGCAACATACCAACTTCCTTAGATGGTCAATAGCAAGATGTTAACCCTAAGTCTCCGCAGAAACGAACGATCTTATTGAAAGCAGGTATAAGATATAAATGTAAAGAAAGTATTTACGGCAGAGCAATCAAACCATTAAAGTTGACTACAAATAGGATGCTTAACACAAGGACATTAGCAATTTTTATAAAAAACAGCAGTAAAATTTGTTAACAAACTAAGAGAAAAGGTTAGTACAATCCAATGGGGTTATGAAGCCTCCACTAAGTTGATAACGCTTTAGTAACTCATCCAAGTGACCTACACACATCAACGAAAATTATAAGCAGACTAACAAGAAGTCTACATGGAGCAATGATAGGAAACCAAAATAAGTGACAAAGAAAGGTAATGACAATCGGCGACCCTACACAACTATGTGGAAGCTTTATTTATTTAAACACATAATCATTAGTACAAGGAGGGACTAAATAGATATGCTATAAATAAATCTTCCGATTTGTGTGACAGCTGGGATACTGTCCGGATGCCCACAGAGGCGATCTTCCTAGGGAGTCACACCCGATGTAGAAGCATTAGAAACTTTAATTAAAGTTATCTATCAGTAGAACTATGTTTGAAAAACATGTTTTCAAACCAAACTACCGGAAAGACAGGATGTTTTGAGGGACAGGTACTTTCCAGCTACCCATTTTCATCAAGGGCTGTGGTGAGGTTGATATTAGACTCTCAACAGTGAGACCTAACCTTGGTGGATTAGTTACAAACTCCTTTATGGATGGACGTTTAGTGCCAACAGTTACATTGATTGAGGTACTGTACTAGTAACCTGGTAGCTGTAGGTAATTCTATCAGGTTAGTCGCGAACACTCAGTCAACCAAACTCAACGTACAACTTGGCACATGTGTGTGGCTTTGAGTTACCACACGTCAGGACGAGGTGCCAGAGTAGTACTAGTAGCAGTGTCAATGTTATTAGAAAAGACAGATATGACTCGAGAAGGCCTAGACTCGTGAAATAACTTTTTCAAGAGTACTGATTGTTTACAGAGAAATCAATCTTATCAATATTGTATTCGAAACCTTAGCTTCGAAAACAGCCTAATGCTAAACTGGAGGCTGTGGACAGTGACCCGCGGTAAAACTAAACTGGTTTTAGACATGAGTGAGCTGACTAAATATCCACTCCAAGTCAAGTTTATGGGTGTAAGAAAACCGACGCTCTTAACATTAAAACTTCATTTGCCTTTTCTGATCAACATGATTTATGGTAGTCGCTGTCATTTAAAGGCATAAAAAGTATATCAACGTTTCGAATTCTACTGATCAAGAGCATATGGCAACCTGTCATCTGAATTGGCCATCCCAATTGACGGTCGATAGGGCTCTCCACTTTCTTTACCTGACATTTTAGGGATCAATCTAGCAAAATATTTGCAAAATCCAAATCTGTTTAGTGGAGATGCTGACATGACGTAGCCTCTTAAACATCATTGATAATAAGTAGAGATGGGTTTAAGACTTAGGACTGGTTTATACAACTACCCAGCTGGATAACCGAGTTTTAGGGAAAACAGGAATACTGACTTCCTACTTGTTGATTTTCTTTAACTTTCTCCTTCATTTGTCTTTTTCGATCACAAAGTTTTTAGGGAGGAACCGAACTTACAAGCAGTACCTCAAAAAATTACAATGATGTCTAATATGTTAAACTACAACATACATGTGCAGACTCCATTCACTTTGGCCAGCAAAAGCATTTGGTGGCAGGTAAAAACTGAAAGGCGGAAATAAAAAAACATTATAACTTTAAGTGTTCCATGGTAGGTGAAATCTGCTTATACATTAGACAGATATCTAGTTAGTAGTAAAAATAATTTTGTGAAAACAAAATGAAGAAACAGTGAAAGTAGCATTAGCTTCACCGCCATGTGGATCAGACCTTTAGATCGAGGGCTCCGGATGTGGCCCCGTTAAAAACCACCTGTTTCGGTTTAGGCACACGGGGCGTATCACAGCCCTCACACATACCAAATGAGATTTGTGTGGTGCATTTGTACTTGGTGACTTTTTGTACCAATATCTATGTTTTAAAATAAAACAATTAAATGAGTTATAGCTGGATTAGAGAACAATAGTAAAGACTCGCCGACACGTTAAGCGCGCACAACCCACTTACACTTATTAATGAAAGCAATCAATAACAGTCGGAAATAGCACAGGCCTCAAACTAATACAATTTCAAAGTTGGAACTAAAACCGGATAGTTAAACCGGCTAAGAAGTGTAATGGGCAGCTCGATCAGTCGGCGGGATTGCTGTTGTAGTAAATCCCCGAACGAGACCCGTACAAACTTCCAGTTCTATTAGCTTTCAACTAATTGCAGCTGCCGAAAATAAACGTATTGATCCAAAATACAATCTACCAATAATCCCGAAAATATGGTCACT